TTTGATTGATGAGCTGACATTATTTTATGATGACGTCACACCGTGAGATAACGAATATTTCAGAATACAGAGGGTGACCAGTGACCGCTTTATGAAAGTAACTTCGTTACAAAAAGGGATACCTCAGCTTACGGGATTGGACCTTTTAATAAAACCGTACATAAACATTGTACCTCTTTATCTATTGTCAAAATTTTACCCAATTTTACCAATATCTAAGTAGGTAGACGTTTTATTTGTTACACATACGTAGGATTACAACGACGATTTATTTATAGAGGTTTGTGAACAGGAATTCGGAATTAAACAGAATTCGAATTACACACAAATGAAAACTTCGTAACGTGTCCAATGTCCTTTGCCTATTTAAATAAATATTTCACCTACATACATTCTCCTTTTCATTGTGTATAGACTCCTACAATAGTATAAAGAAACCTTTCAACTATTTGTATAGAGATATGCGCCTTCGTAATATGTTTTTACAATCCGTAAAAACGGATCAAAAGGAGTACTTTTCTTTACTATATACGGATAAGTGGGAGTTCTTTGTAATGTATACACATCTGCAATTTATTAATTCCTCTCATAATTTCATACTTGGTGGCTAGTTCTTATAACATAACTCTAATCCAAAATTATTTATACAAATACTTATGAAATTTGATTTTCTTATTATTACTTTGATCTCACAAAAGGTTTATTTTTCTAATTGGTTGCTCTATATAAATTAAGAGCAGATCTGAAGATATCGTTTCAAATAAGACGTTTCTAAATGAATTTGTAATTCATCAAGGGTTTGTAAGCTTTCGCTAATCTTCAAGTGTGAAGACACGGCCCTCAAGTACGGCTCACCGATTAAAGCGAATATGCTTTTTGATGTTTATCTGTGTATACCTATTTTTAGCAGTTTAATATAATTTATTAAAGACTTTATTTCAGGCATTATTAAGCAGATAAATATGGCACGAGTGCGCATTAATAATGTCAAGGCATTGCAAATACTTTCTATAGAAATAAAGGGTAAATAAAGTACTCATAGTAGTGTCCAGCAGTGTAGAAGGGCCGGTGAAGACGATTTCATGTATACTATTTTCATGACTCATTAAAACTCTACACTACGATTTATAGTTTTGTTACAAACAGTCACATATTTCGTTAAATACTAGTTCATTATTAAATCGTGGAAGATTATTTCTCTTCGAAAATAGGTATATAATAATAATTTTACTAAAATATAATTACCATATTTTTTAAACAATCCATTAGGTAAATAAGGAATTTTCTGTTACTAACTATGAATATAGTAATATAGTAATAGGCAGCATTAGCACTTTAGCAGCAACATCTCAATTGGAGCCTGAGTCTTAATAGCGTTAACATCAATTAAAACTTGCTTAGCATTTTACAAATTGCATTTCTATGAACTGCGGTCCATTATACAATGTCAGCCTGTTACTCGTAAAAGTTTAAATTATATTTCAAAAAGTTCGTTTAACAGGCACATTTTTTTATGTTGGCGTGGCAAACGAACCGAAGTATTACCTGATGGTAAGCAACCGGCGCCGCCCTTGGACACCCACAACACTAGAGGAGTTACGAGTGCGTTGCTGGCCTTTTGGGGATTACAGTGACAAAGATTTAGGAATTGGGGAGAGAAGGTTAAGACAAGTAACCTCACACACACGGCGAAACAACGCTGTGGTCCTTCCACGCTGATTTTAGTTAAGGCCGAGGATCACCCCGGTCGAGTTGACCTATTCGTGCCCAATCTCGGCTTTCCCACACAATTACTTGCCAACAACGTATTTTCAAAAATAATTGCGTGACTATAAATAGTAATACAAACAGAATGTTAAATATGCATATAATATTAAATATTAAAAAGAAATACTTACCTTCCTTACTACCAAGTAAATAAGATTTCATTTTATATTTACACTTAATGACAGATGACTTTCATCTTAAGCCGTCGGATTAAAAAAACGCATACGAAGTTTTAATGAAAAAATCTCGGATGCTTTCTGTGAATATAAAGTTCTGTGTTACCATAATACATAATATATGTTAATACTAACTTATGAAGAAAATGAGATCTTGTCTTTGGAATATATGGTAATATGTTCCATTCAGTTGACGGATACAGTCCCTTATTTAATGAATGAAAACTGAAATGTATTTATAAATTTCTAAAAGCAGGTTTTTATATAAATATTTCATGACAGTACTGCTGGACCTGGCCTCCTCCACTTTTTACTGTGTTTGCAAGTCGGAGGCCACAGTTTTAAAGATTCAGATTCATCACAAACACTTTGGTTAATAAATAAAATGTAGCAAACCCCATTTTAAATTAGAGATTTCGAGATCCTCATTAAAAATACTAGTATCTATGTGAAAAAAATGTCTCGTTATAAAATAAAGAGTAAGAGTCGTGGTATTAAGTTGTAACGATCATTAATAATGCTGTGTAAGGTGACAGAAATAACGAGAGTCATCACTTCACACACGAGCGAAGGCCAGCTTAGTTAGTGCTGCGTTATAATTTATTAAAAGATTTAAGTATTTTTTAATATATTATATAATTGGAATTATATAGGTATAATGGTATGGAATTAATAATAGTGGTAGATTAAAAAAAATGTAGTTTTAGATATATATTAAATAAAAATGTTGCAAATATTTATTTTATTTTATATATAAAATTTTCCAATTTAAATAAATAATCAAAATGCAAAAATTTATTGAACATTTCAGTTTTTGAAGTCGTTTATTGATACACGTCATAACTTCAATGTAATCATCGTTTTAAGATAATAATTGTTTGAATATTTTCGTATATTTTGTAACTGTAGCCTGTTAATTCCAATAACAACAGTAGATTCAGGTAAAAAACTAATTATTTTTAATTACTCTGTTTATTGCTTTCTGATATCTGTAATAAAATTTAACGTAGTAATTTCGTAGCACTGAGCCACTACGCCGTAGCCGTAGTAATAAAAATGTTCGTAGTAATGACAGGTTTCTCGTGTAAGCGATGTACGCGTAAGTAGCATTTGTAGATTCGTATTTGGTGTATGTGACGTGTCAGCACGTCACGTCAGTAGTGATAAGCGTGATTGATGACGTCATTGCGACATTTGTCCGCGGGGGAGGGTCGACGACACGCACATTACCCTACTTGTTGAGCCTTCCATCAACCTATAACGACAGTTTAAGGGCCGTACATCTATATCCATGGCGTCAGCCGTATTGACTGACAGCTCATAAATTCACATACTTATTCTCACGCTTGCGATATTTCGTAAATGTCAGTCGCAATGCTATGATAATTCCATGACACGCAAATATGTTTAAGCTCGGGTTACCTACGTGTAATTATGGTGTAACTTTCAGAAATGGTTGCCTCTACCAGTGTATCACAAGTATAGAAATTGTAGCGAGGAAAATAAAAATGTATTGGAAGAACTTTATTTGCTTATTTTAAGAGTTTTTCCTTGAAAAGTCATATTTAATAATTATTTTCATAATAATAACACGCATGTAACTTTGCAAAAACACGTCCTTAGAAAATGGTTGAATAGCTCGGACACAACATAAAAAGGGGTTAATGCTCCGTACACATAACATCTGGTTATGCTTGGCAGAACGTGTGCAAATGGCGGATATACCAGCGGATAATTCGGACAAATGTATGCTCCCCTCTAGCGGAATAAAAAGGTTAAATATGAATGTGATAAACGAGTCTAATACCTGCTCGAGTATCGCATATTTAGCCACATTTTTTAATAGCTATGAGTAACAAGATTCTTAGAAGCAAGCCTACATTACATAAATAATTGTTACTCATTGTTATTTTTAGAATTTTATTTATAATTTTCAAATGAAATAACCTTCTTCGAAAGATTTTAAAATAGAGAAAGCTATCCTTTAAAAATATTTATTATTTAAAATGTATCTGTATATTTTTGAATGAAATCAAGCGGCAACTTCGTTTGTTCTACTACACATGAGCTATTTATTGAGGGGATCGATCTTCAGATAACTATTTGTCCATGGTCCTAGAATAGAGAAGGAATAAAATAACGGTTGATTGAACAAAACAAACATTATACCAACTTCGTGTATTTACAATGAATTCATGTCAATATAATTCTACTTCTTCAGTGTACCTTAAGCTTAGTAACCTAATGATACTTATTAATAAAGCCTGTTTCATAATTATAAATATAAAGATATCTGAAAATAAATGAATGAATTTGTATAAACTATCCGCCACATATGTTTTTCGGGAACTTTTTATATGAAGAATCTGAAAAAGGTCACAAAAGTTGTATTTACAGTTATCAGAACTTTGACTAAAAATATGTCACTTATTTTGAATGAACAAGGTTTACGAAACTGCATAAAATCACCTTGAATGAGTACATACTTACTTTAATAAATAATTTCTTTGATATATACATATATTGTGATTTAAATATTTGACCAAAGTTCCATCTCTCAGTTACAAATCCAGTCTGTTATTATTTATTTACTAGAAGAGACGAGTGTTTGATCTTTAAAATAGCCTCGATGTCTTCTAGAGTGTATATCAGCGCAAAATTTATACATTAAGTATTTACTATTTTAGGACAAAAAATATAGTTTAAACTAGATTTAAAATAATTCGTCGTACGAGTGCCACAAAAATTATGACTGCCTGAAAAAAGGTTTAGTCCTTAGACGTTTGAGGTCGTGTATTGATCTACGATTTTTTTTTGTATTAAAGTCTAGGTCGGGTTTTTGAATAGATCTCGGGAATTATTACACGTTGGTTTATTATGCAATCAGATACTATCGTCGTACAAAACGTCACGCCATCCATGTCATGTCATTAGCTAACAATTAGTTAATTAGCAACTATGTCAATTATATCATGATTTTGATATAACATTGATACAGAATATTGTAATGTTTTGAATTAATTAATTATTATTAACGTAATATTTGTATTGTTTCAGTCATGTCTCCAAGTGTCGTGTTTGCGTTGGCTGTGTGTGGGTTCGCGGCAATCTGCTCATTGCCCGTCACCAATGCGCAGGCGCTCGTTTCTCCCTATGAATGTAAGTGAATTACAAATTAATATAGTTATTTAAATGTTAAGGCGGGTTTCGAGGTTTGTAACACCTATATAGACTTATTTAAAGTTCTTGTATATTAATTATTTTCAAATTGTATTTAAAAAAGCTTCGAAATAAAAATCATACATAATTTTATCTTCTACTTGTGGATGTAATAAAAGTATAAAAACCGAAATGATTTAAAAAGTCTTCAGTAACATGATAAAACACAATCATCTAACTTGAAATGCAAGTCGTATACATACCAAAGTATCCCTATTTAGAAATCTTGAACAGGATCTCCAAACTCTAACAAGAAAATCAACCCTTAATAGTATGTTTTGACCCTATATCAAGTTCTATTGCACGATTCGGCCTATTACGTGAAACTTAACCGAAAGAGAATGGATAGTGGGTGTAAGAAAACACAATACCTTATAACCTTTTAGTGATCGCTTGCGTGACTATTGTGTAACTTAACACTTACTTAAACCAACGATACGTAGATAAAAGTTGTATTAGGTTTCAACTAGAAGACCGTCCCGAACAAGAAGTTTTGGCTCAAATTCCAAAGTGCGAGTTAACTTTGTGCAGCCCAATCAGAGCACTGACCCGACGCTTAACCTAAAGCAAGCTCGCACTAGTTATTCCTGTCGTAAAGTCCAGATTTTTTAATTTCTGTTATCCCCATTGTTAGCCTATAATGTGGCCAGTATCAAGCAAAAGCCTCTTCGGACACGGAGAAGGAATGACCATTAATCACCATTTACCCAAGCCGGGATGGTCACCTTAAAATTATAATAAAAAAATTTAGTCCATGTAGACTAGAAATTACACAAGTCTCGGAAAAGAACAGATTGAATTGAAAACGTCATGCATTAAAATCGGGTATCTTAACTTCTGGGCCAATAGGATTAAATTATAATTAAATTTATCAAAAAACAAAACTGTCTACCATTTTGTTTACATTTAGGAGGCCAACTTTACCTACACCATCTTGAAAAAAATATGTTGTGTATGTTTATACAATACTTAGAATTAAGCGTCAAGTTTTCGGAACGAAGTCTTTCAAGGTTTTTCGTATCTGTCTCGCGCTAAAGAGATAAATATTTTAATACCAGACGATTGCTCAAATCTTTTCTACGTGATTTTACATATTTTGCGCTACAAGTGAATAATTTGGAGGATTTATTAGTATTCCTTATCACACTTACTTGCTTACATTTTAATATAGGTACGTTAGGAAAATTTATGTTAAATGAACTCTTTTATCACATTACATTACTTCCATAATTTCACGCCTTTTACTCTGCGTAAGGATCGACAGAGATTCATGAAACAAGGTAACACCCGGACTACCAATTTAATATGGAGTGAGCTTATTGACATACATCGGTGTCAAACTAACTTATAAGTAGAACCGAAAACAATTCAAGGCAAAATATTTCCATTTTGTAGACATGAAGATGTCCATGTGATTTACATCAATTTTCTGTATAGTTCATTTTCTTATACGTAATCAAATATGAATAGTTAGTAGTAATAGGTAACATAGTATAACGTAACATCTTATAATCTTCGAATAGGTAAGCAGAAGTCCACTCCAAATTTGGTGTTACCGCATAAAACTTCACCCAACTCTTACTCCTCAGTCTTATTTGTCATCACAGGAACATATATAATACGTCACAATACAGAGAAAACAAAACCTTATGCCAAAGGTCTAATGAATGAATTAAATAACCGGTATCAACCCAAAATAAGGAGTTATAAGGATTAAGGCGCATTTAAGACATTAGGTATACCTATGAAGTTTCTTTAAAATTTTAGATCGATCTACTCATTTTTAATGGAGATGAATTACTAATTTAATTAGAGGTGGTACTGTTGATGACCCCTTAGCGATTAGGGATTTGGAGATTTTGGAAATGAGGAGGGATTGGGGGAGGAGCAGGATTGGGCCTCCGGTCACCTGACTCACACGGCGAAATACAACGCCGTGGTTGTTTCTCGCCGGATTTCTGTGAGGCCGTGGTATCTCTCCGGTCAAGCCGACCCATTCGTGCCGAAGCATGGCTCTCTGACACTTAAACTTAATCTGAAACACAGTGGCAAATGTAAAATAATAACACTTATACAACCTATAACATAACAATTAGAAGTTACTATATACAAGAGTGTATGTGTGGTACAAGAAGGCGATATGTCAAACTTTTAATAAGATTACGTTGAGAACAAGGGCGTAAGTAAACACATCGGGCGGTTCGCGTAAATCTCAAATACGCGTCAACATCACGTACTCTATTAACTATCACATTACTATTACTGTAATTTCGGATCACCTAATCAGAGGGAAAACCGATTTGTAAGAGGCGCAAATTAATTATTATCGGGAAATGTTCTTGTACAAAAAAATATCCAGTAGTAAGTTTTGTATAAAATTAGTAATGATTTTGATCTTTCTTTGATTTATGTTAGTAGCTCATTTTTAAAGCTGTGGAAACTAACAGGTCAAAAGAATTCTAAGGCTATTCTCATAAAATGCAATTACATAGATTAACAAAATAACTCTTTAAAGTTAGATGAGCCGTGATATCATAATTTCATGTAAGTAATTAATTAAAATATCATTGAACAAATCTCAATTGAGGAAAACTTATAAGAGTATTTGATTAATACAAGAATACCTAAGTGAAGAGGCTTTTAAAGTTACATTCACTGTTGACGATTCTATTTCAAAGTAATGTTTCGTTAATTCAATCGGGCTAACTCAGAAAATTAATCAAGCCGCCCGCAGGGATAACAGAGAGATTTGCATAATTTTCATCCTATTGTATATGTAAGACACAATTAACGAAGTAGACAATAAAAACATTTCGTTTTACTAAAGTTTTTTGGAATATTGTGAATTACTTTATTATCTAATTATGAGGAAATTATTTTACTTTAATTCATAGCAACATTGCCAATTTGCTTGGGAATTGTATGTTGGAACCTGCACCTCTGTGTGACGATACCGTTAAGAGTACCTATATGAATTACCTGTTGGTAAGCAATCAGCGCCGCCCATGGACACTCGCAACGACGGAGATGTGACGAGTTCGTTGCCAAACTTTTGAAGATAACTAGAGATTATAGGATTGGGAGAGGGAAAGAACTGGGCCTCCGGTAACCTCACTCACACGGCGAAACACAGCGCTGTACAACCTTTCAAAATAAATTAAAATTCGCTCTTGATTTTATGACACCCACGTAAAAGTTCTCAGATATCATAATTACATTTATTTAGACTGATCCAATCTGACAAAAAAACCAGTCATGTAGAATATAGAAAAAAAAACAAACAATAGAATCGTCAAAACAAATTCTTTTACAAATTCATTAATCAAAAAACAACACATATCAAATATTGTACGGTTCATAATTAAAAACACGATCGAAATAAAAAATGCTATAACATGTATTGAATACTGATGTCAAATAAAATCGATTTAACTCATTTGTTACGATTCAGTGACCGCAGGTAGGTGTTTTATGTTTTCATAGGATGCTGTACGATTTATACATATATGTATATTTTCCGTTTATATAATGTAGAAGAGTATATTCTCGTTTTCAGAATGGTTATATTATAGACATAAAGAGTCTATCCAAAGTCTAAGAGAAGTTACTTTTAACGTGATATTTAGAACCTAAAAGTTCTCCTGTTTTTTAATACCCTGTAGATAAATCTATGCTGCGGTAATTGTAATTTGCATTCAATGGAGTTTACGATATTATGTATGTTAATTAAATTATATTCGGTTCTATTCTATGAAAAGCACAGTGTACATCAAGATTCTACCGGAATAGTCAATCTAAGCAGCCTTTCAAGTTTCTTAATCAAAATTGAAATGCAAGGTGTGCACCGTGAATATTAACTAGCTTTTGAATCCTTGTTAGTAAAGTGAAACAATTTCTTTATGGTTTAATTAATTATTTAGCGAAGTAATTTTAAAATGTCTCATATAATTACGACTAAAAGCAAAGTTGTCTTCACAAAACTGCTTTTAAGCTTTTTCAATTGATTTTCCTCTGACTTTTTTCTTTACGATGAATAACAATGGTTTTTTCGGTAGTAGCTATTTTATTATTTCTACCAGAGAAACCACGGTAAAAGTATTCGTATTCTTATTGATTCAACACAATCAAATTCCGACGCTCTGACTAACAAACACCTTCGGAAACAAGCAAAGTAACACTGAGGAGACAACTCCCACAATCCCCACGAGTAATTAATTTTCAAACCGCTAAGGAATGCCATTTTTATACTAGTGTATTCTGCGCCACTTGAAACATTGAGGAAGTCTTCATTAATGTAAGATTTTAGTTTCCAACCTTAACGTCACTAAGACATTGATCCTTATAGTACAACATTCCTGGCTAATAGGGCTGCGACTAACTTCGTAGACTGCACAGCTTAAGTTGTATTACCTGTGCATATTCTCGGGTTGATACGAATTATAAACTTGGTTCATGTATATCGCAAACATAATTAGGAATATCGGACTTCGCCTTTGATGATCAACGTTATGTTAGAGTTAATAACTTGTTCCCGATACAGGATTTCAAGTTTCGTGACACGTGTTTAGAATGACTGCAGGAGTTCATTCATTATTGAGACTGGATATTGATTTACATACATTGAATAGGTTTGTAGATACGATGTGTCAGTATCGTCTTTAACATTATTTGTCAATGCTAAGAAACTAATTTTACAAGTAAACATTGTAGGGATATTAAAGTGCTTTTGTATTGCAACAAATGATCACAACTCTAAGCAACGACAGAACATTATAAAGCCACGGGAACACAATACATTAAAAATTCTAACCACACTTTGTATCGAGTGACAAGCGTCCATATGTCTTTACAACAGGTGGCTTGTTTCACATGCCAGCAAGAAGGACTTTTGATGTTTTCTTTTTATGTCCGGAAAATGATATGAAACAGGACAAGTGCTT